AAAGTTCAGGAATTGTGAGATTTTTGTTGTGGAAAGTTTTTGATAAAAATCTATCAATAGTTACAGATACCTTTACATTCTAAATGAAAACAACTTGAGATATTTTGAGGGGGTGGGAGGGGTTAAAATGAAAATGAGACAAATCAAAGCTGACATTTTTTTCTGGACACATGGCACTGAGCTTTTAGCTCCTGAAAGTTTGGGTTTGAATCCATATATATTTTAATACATTTGTTATCCTGAATAACTCCTCCAGTCTTCAAGACCATCACCTTTAGGACATCTATAGCAGGTCAGTATAGCATTGTTGTTATCATGCTGTCACAACCTATAAATTGAATTGGGCTGCTGCAGAGAGGTGATAATATTATTTCTCTTTATTTTGTGAGAAGTTTAACAAAATTCACAGATCTAGCCATATTTAAGACAAAAAGAACTTTTCAAAGTTGAAACTCAAACTTTCTTGAATCCCATCTCAGGTGAAAGGTGGGATGTACATTCATTCATTCATTCATTCAATAAATAAACAAATCAAACATGTGAAATGAAAGCGAATGTAAAATGGATAGGTTATTCTATTCCTAGCAGAGATTCTTGAAGCATTCAGGATCTACATGAAGAAATCCATAATCATTTATATTTGAGCTAAATGAATCTTTAATTTAGAGATTTGAAATTAAGATCTGTGCTAATTGCCAGGAATGGTAGTGGAAGAGAAAGTTTAGGCTGACTGTGCCAGTCAGGTATTGATGGAAGACATGGTTGAGGAACCTAGTAGTTATGCCGCATTCAGGCTCCACAGTTCTACTTCTTCTTACTCATCTTTTATTTCTTTTAAATATTTCTGTATCGCCTCCCATCTCATAAAGGCTCTCAAGGTAATAAACAAATACAAATCAGTTAAAATAATACAAATACTTTTTGGGGAAAAAACCCACATTCACATACTTTGTAAAAATTCCAAAATGTTCTGAAACAGATAAAGCATCATTTTCAAACATTGAATGCCATGCAGTACAGAACAGATTGGGCTGTCACCAGAAATTTGAAAGAGATGGGACAGACCAAACTTCATTGAGGAGAGTGTTCCACAATTAAGATGTGGCTACAAAGAAAGCCCTGTTATGTCTACTCACCAAAGTAACTTCTCAAAATGTTGGGATCCACAACAGTCAACTTGATTCTGGGAGGTTTGTGCATGGAGCAGCAATTTTTTTATTGATAGTTCAGCCTTCGTACTTTACATTTGGAGATCTATTTAGCAGTGGTTTCTTCTTCCAATGTATCCTGACATTGGGTATTATAAAACAATGAATTGGAGAATATGTAAAATTAAAAATAAAAATAAAAAGAATGCCGAAATGACTATTAGAGTTTAGCATGGCACAGTTAGAGCTTGCACTTAATGGTTTGAATTTCAATTTTTCAAATAAATTGATTTAATTTGAATATGAATAAATAATTCAGAAATCATGACCAAAACAACTTCTTCAACTAGATATTTCTGGCAAGCTTTTACAGTGCGATAATTCTGTGTCATTCAGTTTTTACTCTCTAATGCTGAGAGAGATAATGCATCTACTTAAACCAATTTTACAAAATGTTCTTGAAGGATTGGTAGCATTGTGGGTTTCCTTTAAAAAAACTTTTGAAGCAAATACAATTTTGGAAGTTTATTTGCACCATTTTGTGGAAAAGGGAATCAAATTCATGATAAGGCTTATTCAAGCCAGGCTGACCTTGGCAATTATGGAAAGGCATTTTCATAGGACCCCGCTCAGCACATTCACTAAAGGTATAATGGGGGGTTGAAAGGAATCATAGGCAAGTCCCTGCCAGTATCATTATGCAATCTCATTCCCCTGATGACAGTCTGTAAAATGTTTGTGAATAGAATTTATCTGTGTCCACTGAGGTAGATATGAACAAAACATCTCAGATGTATCCACCAGGTAAAGACCAATGCCAGAATTTGGAGAGATGATGGGAAAACCCATTACTTACTGAAAAAAAAATCTAATTATTGTATGCCTTATATCCCTTCACACAACATCAAAATGTCATTAATATGGCAAAAATACTAATAAAGAAGAACATAGGATTTAGGAAAGTCTTCAGTAGTGTCCTTTTGCTTGAGTCGACTGGAAAGAGCAATATTTTGCCCCTCTCTCTGCCCTTATTGAGTTAGTTAAGAATATAAACTGTGTTCAGTTTGCAGTAATTGAAGTAAGCTGATGCTATAGGGTGAAAGTGGGAGGCAGAGAGAGAAACTGGGACATTTTAAAAGCAACTGAAAAAGTGGGATGACACAGGATTAAATGGGACTATCCCTGCCAAATTAGGATATTTGGAGGTTATGTTGTGGATAAAGGTGACGAATTAGGGAAGAGAAGTTCTTCACTGCCATGGTTTCTTTCTTTACACAACACATTAAATTCCTAAATGGATATTATTATGAATCATCCAACTTCAGTAAAATGTGTCTATTTTTACCCTTCTACCATGTAAGGGGACACTTGGATAAATCACCATAGCATGAAATCATTAAAGCATTTCCCCTTTCCTACTTTGATCTTGACAATAAAATAAAGATGCAGCAATAAAATAATCAAGTTAATATATTTAAAGAGCCAACAAAAATTTGGATAATGACTCTGAATACACAATGGGCGGCTTTTAGATAAGATCATGTCTAGACTAAAGCTGTAAGTACTTTCAGTTATGGAAGCAAGCCAGAGATCTTTTAATAGATCTGCGAGGTTACAGGAAAAGTGAATGTCTTCTGTTATTCTCTGGATGGAACATGTTTTTCCTTTGAGGTTATCTTTGGATGATTTTTTTTTTGTTTTGGATTCTGTCCAATGATACAAAAGAGAGAGAGAAAACATTTCTTCGCTCATGATAAAGTGAACTTTGTTCTAATGAGAGACAATTCACTTTCTGTTTTTAGAGGCTTACATTTAAGTAAAACAAATACTTAACATTTTTTTGGTTTTACAGTGGACCCTTGGTATCCACCTTTGGTTCCAAGTCCCCTGTGGATCCCAAAGTCTGTGGATACTCAAATCCCATTATATATAATGGAGTAGCTATCTAAAATGACATTATCAAGGTTTGCTTTTTGGAATTATATTGAATATTTTTAAGCTGTGAATAGTTGAATCCATGGATACGGAATCTGTGGTTACAAACAGTCATTTGTATTTATTTATATGTTTAATTAATATGTCATTGCTTTGAATAAGCTTAAGATTCTGCTTCTTGCCTCCACTTTCTCCTCTTCCTGTGAAGTTGATCAGTTTCCGAATTATTACTCTACTATCAAGCCAGTTTCATGGGTCAATGGGAACTTAAACCTTTACTCCCCAAATGCCATTTCAGTGTGAGATGAATACTAGTTTACACATTTAAAATAGGTGTTGACAGTGATCAATGACAGTCTTTTTAACCAATTGTATGGACACATACACAAGTTGAAAAATGACTTCTCACATAACTGTTTTGCACATCTTTAGATGTTGATGGAATATGTAGAATGTAGCTTAGTCTTTCAGGTTTTTGTGTGTGTCGGGAGTGACTTGAGAAACTGCAAGTCACTTTTGGTTTGAGAGAATTGGCCATCTGCAAGGACGTTGCCCAGGGGATGCCCGGATTTTTTTTTATGTTTTACCATCCTTGTGGGAGGCTTCTCTCATGTGTCTGTATGGGGAGCTGGAGATGACAGAGGGAGCTCATTCACACTCTCCTTGGATTCAAACCTGCGATCTGTTGGTCTTCAGTCCTGCTGGCACAAGGGTTTAACCCATTGCACCATCGGGGGCTCCATTCAGATGAGAATGGTCTGAACATCTCAGTGCCAGACTTTGTGCATAAAAATAAATAAGTCATTTTAGGGCAACAAGATTCAGTGGATCCTAAGATAAAAGTTAAAATGTGGGTTTTACATAACTGTTAGATAAATACCTATTTAATGGCAATTCTATGGGTCTTCTTAAACTAGCATACCTTCCAACATTGCACAGATGAAAACTGGGACATGTGTGGCCAAGCTACTTCATATCATGCTCAAAATGGCAACAAGATTCAAATGAAGAAGAACACAATCAGAAAATGTGTCAAGGGGAGAGAGAAAACCGAGATATTTTGAAAGCAGCAGGGAGAATGGGATGATAAATGATTAATCAGTATTGTCCCTCCCATATTAGGACAGTTAGGGGGTATGCAAACTTGGGCCATTGTTAAACGTGTCACAATTTATGTCTGATATCATAAGCAGAGTTAAGGAAGCAACCCAAGACTTAATGATAACTATGAAGTCAGTATGTTCATCCTGTAGCTTTTATTCTTTAAAGCTTTCTTGTTGTATTTTTTCTTTTTTTTCTTTTAATGATGTGATGACCAAAAAATAAAATCCATTTTCAAGGAGGAAATGTACTATTAATTCTTAATGTAATAGTGTCATCGTTTTTCATCCTTTAATTACAGGAAGTTTTAAACTTGGCACTATAAACTATTTGCAGCATGAATTAATAATGCTAAAAATGATAAAGTCATTTAAACAACTTTAAGAGAACACTTTCCTTTCTCTGATTTTTAATAGTGTGTATGACCTGTGAAGTCATTTCACAGGTTGCCTGGTTAATGGAGAATTGTTTTAATTAAAATAAAATCAGGAAGCTGATGTGGAAACATGACTCTTAGTTCTTCCACCAATATAATGGGAAATAAAATTATTTTTGAGAATGCCAGCGGAAAGTAACATTTAAAAATGTCTTGTCTATAATGCATGCAGCAGGAAAGACAGTTCTATTTCATTATTTCATGTCAATATAAAAGAGGGCTTTCCAATTTTCTAAAAGGAGACCAACATGACTAAAATAATTTTAACTTCAGGCCATTTTTTTTGTTTTTCTCTGTTTCATATTGACCATCAAAGCATTGGGCTGGTGATTCCTTGGAGTTGCCTGTTACTAAAGCCTTTTCGTATATTCTCTTGGTAGCATGTCCCACTGGATTCAAGTGCAGATACATAGCTGTAGACTGATCGGTAAGTCAGCAGAGCCATCATTTATTTGCTGAAGATTTTATTTTTTAATTTATTAGTAGTTTCTTGGTTATTTTCTTACCTCAACCGAAGATTTACCTGAATGTTAGAAATCTAACATCATATGATTATTTTTTTTTTAAAAAAATAGAATGGAAAGACATCTGCATTAAGCGAGGAAGGTGGACAAAGAGAACCGCTGGCCCTTAAAGTGGATCTTCTGGGAGCAAAGCAAAGTTGTGGCATTTTAAGGAGTTTGACACCAGAATTTAATCTGGTTTGGACTGCTCTTCCTTGTGAATGCTAATGAGTCATCCTAGTATGGTTCATCAGTGACAAACGTGTTAGAGTTGAGGACTTCATTTAGCATCTAGATACACCATGCCCTTCCATTTAGCATCTAGATACACCATGCCCTTCCATTGTCCTGACTGATTTGGTAGGGACAGTCCTAACTCATCCTCTGTCATCCCACCTTTTCAGATGTTTTTAAAATGTCCTTGTTTCTCTCTTCTTCCAACATTACTTCTTTTCCTCAGCTTACTTAACCGAGCTCAAAGTGCAAAAGTAATTTGCACACAATTTACTCAGCAGGAGAGGAAGAAAAGAACGAGATGAAATCTTGCCCTTTCCAATAGATCCAGACAAAAACAACTTACTGCTTGTGTGTTCTTGTTAATAACTTGTGCAATCTTGACCAGACTTTAATGTAGCTTAGCCACATGTGTCCCTGTTTTTGTCTGTGAAATGTTAGAGGCTAGGGGATTCTGTTACTTTTATATTTTAGACATCAATCATTCAGTAATTGAAAAATATTCTACACAGTTTTTGTTCATATTCTATTTTTCTGAATTGAAACTCAAAATCTTATAAACTGAGTCCCTGGAAAGCCTGTCATTCAGCTATTGATCAAGTTGATCCCTACTCAACTTTATCCATTGATAATACATCATGTACATCTTTATACATACTTCATTTGGAAGTATGTATACTACTTGTTGGACACCCATCTTCTCTCGTGGGAAGTTGTACACCATCTTGGCATCAATACTTTTAGTGTAATTTTAAGAGTTTTCAAAGCTTGTCAAATCACACCTCTGAGGATGCTTGCCATAGATGCAGGCGAAACGTCAGGAGAAATGCCTCTAGAACATGGCTCTATAGCCCAAAAAAACCCACAAGAACCTAGTGATTCCAGCCATGAAAGCCTTCGACAATACAAATTGTAAATGTTTGTCATGTATCATGTTTGTTTATTTAAGTTGTTATTTTATAATTTTTATTTAGTCTGTTTTTACCTATTGGTTTGATCTGTCACTTGTTGTTTGGCATTGAATGTTTGGCATTGTGTTTATTTTGTTGGAAACCTCCCTGAGTCTCCTCGGGGAGATAGGGCGGGTTATAAATATATTATTATTATTATTATTATTATTATTATTATTATTATTATTATTATTATTATTATTAGAAACACAACAAGATTAGTACACAGCAAACAAGATCACGATGTTAGTTGTTGTATTGGATCACACATCTGATACTTCCCAAGTGTCTAGGACGATGTGATATATCGGCGAATGATGCGTGGAGATCTCAGTAGGATGGCCTTTTGCAGCTGACAGATGGTAATTTTGTCAGTTTTGTTTAAGTGCAGGCCAAGGTCTTTAGGCACTACATCCAGTGTGTCGATCACCACTGGGACCACCTTAACTGGCTTGTACCAGAGTCTTTGCAGTTCAATCTTTAAATGCTCATATCATATCAGCTTTTCCAGTTGTTTCTCTTCAATCCTACTGTCACCTGGGATTGCAACATCAATGATTGATACTTGGTTTTTTAACACAATCGTGAGGTCAGGAATATTGTGCTCCAAACCTCTGTCAGTCTGAATTCAGAAGTCCCAGAGAAGTTTGATGTGTTCATATTCTGTAACTTTTTCAGGCTTGTGATCTTACCAGTTCTTTGTTGCAAGCAGATGGTATTTGTGGCACAAGTTCCAATGAATCATTTGAGCAATGGTGTTATGCCTCTGCTTGTAGTCTGTCTGTGCGATCTTCTTGCAGCAGCTGAGGATGTGATCTATTGTTTCATCTGCTTTCTTGCAGAGTCTACATTTGGGATCTGTTGTCGACTTTTCAATTCTGGCTTTGATGGCATTGGTCCAAATGGCTTGTTCTTGGGCTGCCAGAATCAGGCCCCCCATCTCCTTTTTCAGAGTTCCATTTGTGAGCCACAGCCATGTTTTTTCTTTGTCAATTTGGCTCTCAATTTTTCTCAGGAATTGTCCATGTAGAGCCTTCTTTTGCCAGTTTTCTCTTCTGCTCTGCATTGTATTTTTATGGTATTCTCTCTTTGTATTATTATTATTATTATTATTATTATTATTATTATTATTATTAGTATTACCTTTGTGCCATGATCTCAGCATTGTTTCCAATAGACCTCCCCACCTCTCCTGAATTCAAAAATCTGAAATAATATAAAACAGCTGCCCCAAAAGAAGGCACAATGTACTGGTGATGTGATGATGTCATGCTTAATGTGAAGTGGACTGATATATCAGACTCTTCATTAAAAAAATCCCATAAAGGTATCTGGTATGTAGATTGGTATAGAAAATACAGAACACAACGGTCGACAGCATTTTCATGTATCTTCTTATTTTGACATTATTGTTAAAGAATTAGAAAATCAGGAGACTAATTTCATTGGCAAGAAAGTGCACAGGAAGGAACAGTCATGATGCCCCTAGTTTTGTTCAAGGACATTTTGAATAAAATGAAATGATTGTGATTATCCAGTAGACCTTCATTAATTCATTAACTTTGCAAAATATTTATGGCCAACCCCAATATGCTTTTTATTTGCTTTTGGGTTTTCTCCCTTAAACACTGTACATGTCAGGACCTCAATGTATTGCTATATTTTGGTGTTTGTTTCAACAAAAAAAAGAGCATTTTTCCTCACATTACTAAGGTGTATTAGCTGATACTAAGCAATCTTAGACTAAAAGGCAGCAGTTCTTTAGATGTTACTGAAGTAGTCCATGTAAATTAATGCTACTGAAGAGTGCATCAGGTGTAAGATCAAGGAACTTCAAGGATGATTTGGAATCTTCCAGTTGTCCTTACGTCATAATCCTAGTTCTAAGACTTTAAACATGCCAATTATTAAGACTTAAGGGAGATAAGAACTCAGCTTCGTGCTAAATGTGGTACATTCTTTAATTTTTTTTTAGAAAGGAATAATCCTCTGCTACAAGTATAAATGTCAACACCAGCTTAACCTTCATGTTACTACAGTTATTTCTGGTAACCTTACAGAAACCTGTTTATAATGTTATACCTAGGAATCTTGGGAAAATGTAGGAACTACCTCTTTGAGAAAATAGCTATAGAAAGTGATTTATTTTTCTTTGCTTCCAATCCAGTGAAAAAACATAATTCTGAATAGTTATTAATTTCATTTGTGTCCCTCTTTCTCCTAATCTGAGAATAAAGGTAGTTCACAAAACATATAGTCTTAAAGTGTTCATAACTACATGGAATATTCCCATACCTTTCCATCCAAAATAAATGTACACATTGGCCATTGATTTTAAATATTTTTATGTTTCTTGCATCACTTTAGAAGAATTTGATAGAATCCCTAATTAATACCATATGTAATGTGAGGAAAAAACGTCCTTTCCCTCCTTTTTTGAAACCATAATTGGAAAACAGATGCAACCATTTAAAAATGGTTGGGGTACATTTAGGACTTGGATGGACAAAGTGATTTTGACTAATTTAAGGGTTCTTTTAAATGAAAAATCACCCTCATTAGGTTTTCTTTGGGGTGGAGTATCCATTGTGACCCCCAGATTTTGTTATGGTACCTCAAATGGGCTAGGGACCCCAGGTTTAAGAAACTCTGGTCTAGAGCAGAGCTTTCCAAACTGTGTGTTGCAACATATTAGTAAAGTCTGACCAATTGCATACAGTATAAAACCTTGCATCCTTCATTTTTAAGTTGGTCACACCTTAATGATTGAAATAACCAGATATTAAAAGCAGATTTTTCTTGTCATTGCTCTTTGCTGTAGGCAGAATGCCTGAACTTCTAAAAGATAATTTATCCATAAGCAAATCATTTATTCCAGATTGTAATATGCAAGACCAATAGTAATGCTGGCATTTTACAGTTTAGAATGAATTAGAATTATTCTGAGTTTGCTTGGTTATCTCCTTCACTCCAGGGACATCATTTAAGGTCATTATTGCTTCAATAAAAGAAGTTACATCTGCAGCTTGCATCTATACATTACAGGAACTCTGCCTGTACCTCAGAAAGAATCACTGACATTACCAGGGTAATATTTAGGTTGGCTTCCCTTTACTAATTAATGCATGCAAGTGCAACTATAATTATTACTTGTATTTATTTAAATGGACTTTAATGAATGATTTTAGTGTCAAAGTCTTGTTTTGTATTGTATGATATTAAGGCAGAGACACATTTAAACAATAAAAACTAAGTTTGCTATAACTGTTTGGGAGAAATTTTCTCACTGCCTCAATCTTCACCATGGAATAACACAATGAAACTAAGGTTAGGATATACTGAAAATACATATTTGGCATGGAAAATCTATGGGTCCCTCCATGAAGTAAACCCAAGATGATGCAGTTATTGGTTGGTTTCTGGGGTTAATGCCAAGCATTACAGTGGAAATTAATCTTTGTCAAAGATTGTAGATGCAGTTGTGTATGAAAGAACTATGATTAAACGCCAATCTTACTAGGTAGAGAGCTAGTGTGGTGTAGTGATTTAAGCATTGGACTATGACTGTATACCAGGGTTTAAATCACCACTTGACCATGGAAACCTACTGGGTGACTCTGGGAAAGTCACACCCTCTCGCCCTCAAAGGAAAACATGGGCCCTCTCCCTCCAAGCCATTGCATCTGGAAAACCCTATAATAGGTTCACTTAGGATAATCATAAGTTGGAAACAACTTGAA